TGACTGATGATGTATTTGGTATTATGGATGTCGATTGTCCCGATTTAATTGATTTAAAAAAGAAAATATCATTTACATTAGCTGATGGTTCATTTCTTTTAAAAGCTGGTATTAGAGCAAATATTAAATATTTAAAAGAACTATTTTTGAAAAAAAATGAAGAAATAACGAAAGAGACAAAATTAAAATCAAAACAACAAACAACCATAAGAACAGCTGCTAGTAATTCCACTCCACCACCATCATCATCGATTATAACCACAGCACCAGTTTCAACTAATTTAGTTCCTCCATTACCACCTCCAACAATGACAAAACATGAACATAAAGATTTTATATTAAAATTAATTAAACAATGGTGTTTAGATAATAAAGAAAACGCTGGTTTAGATGATTTTCAATTAAGAGGTGGAGAAGATTTTACATTAAAATTACAGATAACCATAATATTTTAGAAGCAGCAATTACATGTAAATGTGGCACAAATTTCTCATTAACGAAAAAGGATAATAAATTTCAATTGTCAAATTTTTACAAACATATAAAAAAATTGAATTGTTCATTAATGAAAGAATTTGTAAAGAAAAATAACAAACAAAAAAGAACTAATGTTCAAATATCATCATCATCGACATCACCAGTACAATCACAACCATTAGTTCAAATAATAACGAATCCTATAGCTGCACCATCTCCATCCACAAGTAGTACATCAACAACAGCATCAACGAAAAACAATTCTAAACGTTCTGCACCAGCATCAAGTATACTAGCGCGATCATCAAAGCGAAGAAAACTATAATTATTATTTATTTTATCATTTGTTTACCATTAGTTTTATCGTTTCAATTTTTTTGTATTTTATTGTATTATTATGAAGTTTTTAACCAAGTAATTGTCTTTCCATTATTTATATTTAAGATTTATTTACTCCTAGTCGAATATTGCAATTTAACTGTGATATTTTTATCTTTTTTTTATTGTTCCTTTTATACTCGAGATCTTTTATATATATCTATTATTATTCAAGATCACAAGTAATGTATGTTTAACAAAGCATTCACGTCGACCTGAGAAATATGAGATGTGTCGTTGATCGGCTCTTTATATACGAATTAGATGTGTTCAATGAGATGTTGTATATGGAAACTGGTTGATGCTGAGCTTTACAGGAACTCTTGGACTCCTGAACTCCTGGACTTCAGGAGTCCATAGAAATCCATGGGAGTCCAGGAGTCCGCTTTTCCCCCCTTGCGTCAATCGCATCATATTTGACTGGCTCTTTTTCCTTTCCCAAAGAATGGTGAACATGATTAACCAATAACAGAGAAATAGTCGTTCGTTGCATCATGTGTTGGTGTTGCTTCGTGTTAGCGGCTATCAAAGATCTAAACATATTATTTAGCGTCGATGCTCAGTTGAATAGATTGCTTTTGGCGAAGTTTTACTAGCCTGGTTGAGAACAGTCAGTGAGATGACTTGCTGGAGAAGAAAAACGCTTTTCACGGCTGTTTTTCTCCATTTTTCATTACGAGAGAAGGCTGGGTATCTCTCTCTTCTGATTGAGCGTAGAATATTTTTGTTGTGAGAATCAACAAATTCTCTGGAGTAACAGGATTCTATCAAAAGTCTCGCTCTCAACTCCAAACCAAACTTCGTTCGAAATAACTGAAAATTAGCTGATTTTCTACTGAATAGAATGCTCTTTCAGAACACCCGACTTAGAAAAAGAACAGAAACTTAGTTTGACATGCACAGAAGAAACTTCACTATAGGACAGAATTTGTAGCGATTTTGCACCATAAAATGATGTTCATACAGAAAGTTAGTTTTGTTTAAAGCTTTATTAAAAACAAAATCTGAGCACAAAGGGTTAAAAGAAACCCGCTTTAGCACTATACACAGAAACACACACATGTAAACATAAGAACCTAAAACATAACAAGAAAAAAAATCAGGCAAGGTTAGTTTTCCTGCCCCTAACCTACTCGAAACTTACGGTTTCGAACAAAGTCAAAGACAAGTCTTTAAACGCGAAAGATTTCGCTATGATCAAATGTATTAATGTAATTGAAATGTTGTTTTTATATTCGTAAAATAACTTTCAGTCTCCATATCAAGATCTGTTCATTGATCATTCGAAAATGCCTGGGGAAGCAGTGGGTATTTTAATTGTTCGATTTAAAAAATCCTTAGTGAGAGAAAACTTAACTGTATTTCTTACATTCTAGTCTAATGAACCTGGTCAATCACACGAAACTAATGATGT